ACACAGACCTGTATCTCCTCTGCCTTGGCTTCCCAGGAACTCCCAGGAACACTACTCAAAACCTGATATGGAATCAAAGCTCAGGCCCTCTGTGCTGTAGACGTTGTTCCTGTGACACCCACTAACAACAATCATACTTTGGAGCCTGAGCTGGAGAATCAACCTGTCTGGGACAGCCTGCCATAAAACTGCCCATACCTAGTTCCATCTGGTCACCAGGGTGCTTCTATCTGTAACCCCCATCTCCCCACCCCTGCACCCCTACAGTGATCATCTGAGAAGTGAAAGCTAAGAGGGAAGAGAGACTTAGGAGAGCAAAGGAGACAGGGCTGAATGGAATTCCTAGCAGGTTTTTGGCTGGTGAAAAGCTTTTTCCCCAGCCCCTGCTGTGCCTGGCCTGCAACAGTTATAGGATCAATTATACAGGATCAGTGGGGAGTCCCATGGGCTGGAGGTGGGCCTGAGCCGGGACTCTGTCCCTCTCACATACTGTGTCTGAATCTGAGGCTGTGATGGGTTCGGGGGAGGACGGGGAATAATGGGCCCACAGTGACTCATTAAGGTTTCTACCTCATCCCTGGGGCCTCTCGTAGCAGGAATGTGGTGCCAAGTGGATTGCTTGGTGCCTTTGCCCTTCCTAGAGACAACAGGGCCCTGGGGTGTGGTGGGGAGTGACTGCCCTGTAGGCTCCTCCAAAGTCCTGGGGCTCTCAGACCAACCCCCAGAAACATCCAGAGCCAACAACTACAAAAATAAAGCGTTTATTTCCTATCCAAAAGTGAGCCCTGGGTGTTGGGTGGTAAGGGAGAGCTGGAGACCAGGGTGGGTTTGTGAGAAGTCAGGGCCCTGAGTGAGACCTAGTTGGATGTGGGAAGAACAGGCTTGACTGAGGTCTGGTGCAGGGGGAGGGATAGAGAGTGCTGTGGGGACTGTTTCAAGTTGCTGGCAGCAGAAGAGACCACCTTCAGGGACAGCCTGCAGAAAGACAGAAACAGAGATGTTGAGAGGCCCAGGCGCAGGTATAGAAATAGACATTGCTGGGTCCGGGGCGCCTGGGTGGCTCAGTCGTTAAGCGTCTGCCTTTGGCTGGGGTCATGATCCCAGGGTCCTGGGATCGAGCCCCGCATCGGGCTCCCTGCTCGGTGGGAAGCCTGCTTCTCCCTCTCCCGCTCCCCCTCTTGTGTTCTTTCTCTCGCTGTCTCTCTCTCTGTCAAATAAATAAATTTAAAAATCTTAAAAAAAAACAAACAAACATTGCTGGGCCCAAAAAGCACCCGCTGGAACAGAGGAACCTGGGAGGACACTCTAAGGCAGGAAATGCAAACCCAAATACCTACAGAGACCAAAGAATTCAAATGAGAAAAGCTAGCTCAGTGTCAGGAGATGATCTCAAGAGGCCCCATCGCAAGAGGATGGTGGCCACTCAACACCATGTTGATTATTGCCAGGTGGAATGTTGGCCCAGGATTGCCAGAACTCCCCATATATATATATATATATATATATATATATATATATATATATATATATAGTTTTTTTTAGAGAAGCTGGAATATCTGGATATTTATGTGAACTCTCCTGATTTTTAGTGCTGGCAACTCATTCATATTTTGAAAAAAAAGAAAAAGCCATGAGAACAGAAGAATACATATCTGGGGGGTCATCATCTGTTTCCTGTGTGGGCTGAGAGATGAGGTGAGCCCCTCCAGCCCAGGCTGGTAGTGGGAGGTCTAAGGAGTCTTGGGGTGCTCAGATGCCAGCCGTCTCAAACCTCATCCCTCTCAAGATGACATTGCTTCCAAGGTCTCCAGCAGAGCCCGGGGGACGGGGGGCTGGGACAGAAGGCCTCACGATATCACGAAGCTATCTGTGCAGTGGAATCTGCAATTTGTCCCTCTTGTCTTAGACACCAAGATCTTGCCTGCTCTTGCCTCTGCCTTCACTTCCTGCACTGGATCTGGGACCCTCCCCTAGCCCCCGGTTGCTCCGCCATATCTACCTGCCTCCGGGTCCTGGGGAGAAAGCAGGACATGTCATCCGCCCGGCCTAATCGGCACTGCATTCCGTCTCATGCCTTTTGGGTTCCACAGCCTCAGGTGGCTCCCCTCACAGAGGGGAAGGACAGGGGAAGGTTTAGAAAAGGGAACAGGGTCAGAAGTGACCAGGCTTTGTAAAAAAGTCCAGAGAATGCAGAGCCAACCAGACCAGCTAGTGGCTGCTGACCCGAGGCAGGAGGCCAAGGGGCCCAGCCCCTCCCTGGAGGGCAGGCAGCAGTGCCCACCCCAGACAGGCCTGGGCCCAGGGCCTGGGTCAGTGGAACGTGTCTGGCCTGGACCGAAAGCTCTGCCGCATGAGGCTTGGGGTTGGAGGTGAGGTCTCTGGCACTGGGGAGGGTCCCAGAGACTCAGGCTCTGAGGGATAGGGGGATAGCACGGAGGGTCTCAGGTTGGGGGGTGTGGCCCCCATCTCTGCTGTCCCCACACTGGCCGGGCAGTGGACCTCAGCGAGAGTAGTATCCTGGAGGCTAGGCAGTGGTCCAGATAGACAGGGAGAGATGCATGGAGGCCTCAGCTGGGGACCAGGAGGGTCTGGGGGCCGAGCCGAGGCTACTGCGTGGCCCGGGGGACCCAGCCTGGCCTGTAGCAGGCCCATGATATGTCGAAGCTCCCGGCTCAGCTGAGACACTTCCTGATTGAGATGGGAGATCTGTTGAAAACATAACAAATTGTTCCCCAGGTGTCACAACAACTACCACTCTCCTAGATGCACCCCCCATACACGCTTTACAAAACTCTTTCCCAGCCTGAGAAAAAGGCAGGGCAGGGCAGGAGTTATCTTTGTCAAGATGTAAACACTCAGCCTCTTTCCAGAAAGGATTTGGGACTGTGACTATTGCAACACCCTCCCCCCCAACTTTTATAAGAGGCAGAAAAATGGGCCTCGAAGAGGCCACACAGCTGGAGGTGACAGACCCAGGCTTATTCTCAGGTGATCCCAACACACACGCTCAAGTGTGTCTATTCAGGGCTTTGCAAATTTCAGGGAGTACAGAATCAACTGAGAAACTTGTCAAAATGCTGATTCCTGGGCCCCACCCCAGACATTCCAAATTGGGTGAGGCTCAGGAGTCCCCATCTTAATGGTGCCGGCAGACACTCAAGTGTGGGAATCACCAAGCCTAGAACTGTGACCCAAGTGGGACTGGCCCTCCAGATGGCTAAACTGGGGCCTGGTCCTGCCCCCATCCCCAAGGCCCACCCAGCCCAGGGGCTGCCCTCCTGGGATGCCTCCGATGTTTATCAAAACCCAGGGAAGGCCCACTCCCAAAGGGCTGGGCTTGACAAAGTGCCCTGGTGACAGCTCAGAGATCCCCGGGGAGGAGGCACAGGCAGAGCCTTGCCATATAAGATCTGGGCTCTTCCTGACCAGGGTTCAGACACTAGGATCCAGCTCTCCCAGGGCTGAAGGCCTCCCCCCGCCCCGTCCTCTGCCCCCTACGTTCGCTGAGCATCCACTTCCCAGGGCTGGGGTGAAGAAAAGGACTTGGTAGGGGGCAGGTCCCTAAAGGAGAGAACCCAACGGTGGTGGAGGGAGGAGAGGCGCTCTTCACAGGCGGGAGGACCTGAAGCAGCTGGGAAGGAGCAGAAGGGGTCACTGAGTGCTTACAGTGGGCCAGGGACTGGCCAGGCATGGGTGTGCTCTTACCTCATCCTCAACGACTCTGGCAAAAAACATATTCTTTTCCCCATTTTTAAACGAGGAAATTGAAGTTCAGGGTCGTTGTGGGACTTGCGCAAGGTCACCCAGCTAGTGTGAGTATGTGAACTCAGGACTCTGGGTCTAAACCCTGAAATGCTCTTCTATGAGGCACATCTCCCAAGATGGTATTTTCCAAGGTTGGAGGGGAGGAGCCAGCCCCCACCCACCTCCTGGTTCAGCCTGCAGACCTTTTCCTTCATCTCCTCAGCCTCCGTGGCCAGTTCCTGGCTGGGCCTGGTCCCTGCAGGCAGAATGGGGTGAAGGGATGCAGGGTGAATGTGGGGGGCAGGAGTCCACAGCCTGGTCTGGGTCCCCTCCTGTTGCTGGGCAGGCAGAGAACAAGGGGAGAGGGAGCTCTGGGATCAGGGTGATGGGAAACCCAGACTCTTCAAGCCGGTTTCAAGGCCCTATAACTTTCCCTGCCCCCTTCCCTCTACCGCTGCCCCAGCTCTATACGCAGAAGCTTCTCTTTAGCGCCTGAACAAAATATGCTCTTCTCTCCTGCCTTTATGGCTTCCAGCAACTGCTTGCTCCACCCCTCAAACTCCTGCCCAGCCTTTAGGACCCAGCACAAGTGTCCCCTCCTCTAAGAAGGAGAGTTAGGGGTGCCCTCCTCTTGTACCTCAAAGCCTTGTTCCTGTCTCGGTCATGGTACTTAACACCCTGTTCTGGAATCATTTATCCCAGGACACAGTTGTGTCCGCCGCTGGATTGGGAGCTCACTAAGGATGTAGGCCAGGTCCGGGTTATCTGTGTACGCCCAGCACAGAGCCCAGCACGTGGTCAGCCCTTACTACATGTGGAATGGACGGCTGAAGGGATGGGTGGATGGCACATGAATGGATGGCTGAGAGGTGAAGTCTGTGGCTGGCCCTTACCTGAAGGAGGGGCCTGTGAGCAGGGCCTAGGGTGCTCAGGCCTCCTGCTGAATCGAAATGTAGGGGCCTCCGCTGTGCTGCCAGAGTCCTCGATGCCATCCACTATCCTGGGATGGGGGCAGTGATCATCAGTCCCATGGGGAGAGGGCAAGGGCCAGAGCAGAGCAGGCAGAGGGTAACCGGGGACAGCAGTGCCAGGGAGATGGGGAGGAGCGGCGGTCAAAGAGGGGTGGGGTTGCAAGTGTGGTGGATCAGGAAGGGCGGATGGGCAGATGGGGCAGAGACAGGATGGGCACTGGATGAGCACTGGTTGGAATGCTGGGGACAGAGCCCAGAGAAGGTTCTAGAAGCCAGCAGGGGTATGGGGAAGGCAGGGGAGGCTGGCGTCTCACCGGGGACTGAGGTCCGGAGGTCCAAAGGTTCCCAGTGGGGGAATGAGAAGCTGGGGGAGCTTCCAGGCAGCAGAGCCCCTGGGGGGGCCATGAGGGGAGGGGCTGTGACCCCGGCCAGCCAAGGCAGGGGAAGGGGTTGGGGACAGGGAAGGGGAGGAGACAAGGGCTGAGAATGGGGGCAGCTCCTCGCCCAAGAGGCTGACCAGGGAGCCCCGGGGTCGTGCTGGGCTGAGGTTGGGCAGCAGGAGGGGCCGGCGGGGCCTAGAACCACCCCCAGACTCCACCCCAGTCTCAGCCTCTGTGATGGATGGCAGGGTCTTGTCTGAGGAGGAGCCGAGGCTTTCCGAGCGGGGCTGTGGGCAGAGGGCGGCTGATGTCAGGACAGTGAACAATAGGCCCCTTCATTCAGCTACAGCCTTCACTGGCAGATGCTGCTCGCCATCCCCCTCCCTTCTCCCACAGCAAAGGAGCCAAGGAAAGGTGCCCCCAGCTCCCAGACTCTCCCCCATGTAACCTCAACCCTACCCAGGAAGGTGGTGTTACCTGGGAAAGGCGAGGAGACCGGGAAAAGCGGCTGAGGCCCTGTGGGGACACAGGGGGGTTCGAGGTGACTCACACCTCCCCCCTCCCCTGCTGCAGCACTTCCTAGTCCTACCCATCAAAGCTGTGGGCTTTGAGAATGGGGTCCTTTCTGTGGAACTGAGTCAGAGATCCCTCCAACTCCACCTCCAACTCAGAGACATCTGAGTGGCAAAGTCAATCCGAAAAGCAGTGAAAGACAAAGGCCCAGAGTCTAAGCCAAAATGGGCTCAGGACATATTTGGTGAGTGCAGAAGAGGAAACCCAGGGCATGATGCCCCAGTTCGGAGAGAGACCTGACAGAGGAGGAGCCCACGAGGGGGACTGTTTCCAAAGTGAGGGCCCTCTGAGGAGTCTGGAGTGAGGCTGAGGGGTGGCTGACAGGACATGATGGGTCAGAGGAGTTGGAAGTACAAGTGGTGAGAGATGGTCCATGGGGTTGGGTGATGGCCAATGGAGAAGGGTCAGGTAGGGATGGAAGATGTCAAGCATGGAAGGGACAATGGAAGGGGGTGCCTGGGATTGAGAAACGATTTTGTCAGGGTGGAAGGAGATGCGTGAGGCTCTCTCTCAGGCTGCGGGGGCGGGGGGGGTGGTTCTGCTCTGAAGGAGGGGACCTTAGAGGAGATGGAGGCCATAGGGGGTCTACATACATTGGTGTCAGAGCCCTGGCGCAGGTTGAAGGTGAGGTCCCGGGGCAGGCCAGCCCGGAAGGCAGCCCCGTACTCAGGATAGAGCCTCAGGACCTCAGCCAGCCCTCGGCTGCTCAGCTGCTGCAGGCCACAGTAGGTCAGTGCCTTCACGTCAGCGCTGGTCTTCAGCACGCAGCCTGGGCCTGCCCCGGACCCAGGCTCCTGCCCCGGCTCAGGGATATCTGCCCCAATCAGGTCCCCCTTCCCTGTGGGTAAGGGATGCGGACAGTCAGCTGGGGCAGAGGGACCACAAGGGTATCAAGTGAGAGGCGGTCAATGGATTTGACGGGCGGTCAGTGTGCTTGGAGTGTGGTCGAAGATGGACCAATCAATAGGACTGGTGGAAATAATCAATGGCGTTGGGAAAAAGTCAGTGAGAATGACAGATGAAGTTGGGAGACAGGGAATGGGGGATGTCAGTAAAACCAATGGAATTGGGTGATCAGTAAAGAATGGCCAGAGGGATCAGTTAAAGGATAAAGGTCAATGGAGTTGAGGGTCAATGGGAAGGGTCAATGGAGTTGGGAGATGGTGCAGTGGGAAAGGACCAATTGAGTTGGGGGAGAGTCACTGGGGGAGGGGTGATGGTCAATGGGATTAGGGGAGGGTCCGAGGGTATGGTGGAAAGGGGATGGTAGTAGGGTGAAGGGACCAGGAAAGAGGACTCCTCAGCAGGAATTCCACATATCCACTAGGCGTAACCCAGTCCCTAGATTCCTGGCCACACTGAAGGCCTCTGGGGCAAGGTTCCGGGGTAGATAGTAGGTGGTGGTGGGATCCTCACCCAGGATGGCCAGCACCATGTTGTCTCGAAGCACCTCAAGCGAGCCGGAGCAGACGTAGTAGTGTGCCTGCAGGGCATCCCCACGGCGCAACAGGTACTCGCCTGGAGCGCAGAACGAGGTCTTGATGTGCAGGGAGAGGGCCCGCAGGCAGCCCCTGCTCGCCGCTCCAAACAGCGGCAGCTGCAGGATCTCCCGATTCAGGTGCATAGCGATGTCAGCTCTCAGCTCGTCTGGGAAGTCACGCAGTAACTGCATAAGGGGCATAGGTCATTCTAGCCGTCCCCCTACAGCTGCTACTTGAGTTCTACAAATGTGCTGAGCTGTCTCCAAGGGGAGAGCTCCAACTTGCCCTTTGTTTCGAAGTGACCCCTTTCTGACCTTCAGGAAGACCCGTGTGTGTCAAACCTCAATTTTGCTTGTGTGTGGACCTCCCAACCCAAGTTCTGGAGTAGAGACTAGGTCTCTTCTTGTCTGTCCACTGCCCATGACCATGTGCAGTGGTCACTCACATGTCCTGGTTGCTCAACCCCACACAAGGACCAGCCCTGGTGGGTCAGCCTTTCAAGCAAGAGGCAGGAAACTAGAAGTCAGCTCTGCCCCTAAATCCCTGTGGACCTTGGGCAATCCATTTGCTTTCTCTGGGCCTCTGTATCCTCATCTGGAAAGATGCAGGGTTACACTAGGCCTTGAACATTACCAGTGACTTTCAAGCAACCAAACTTAACGTTCACAGAGCCACCCTCATCTTATGGAGCCCCTAGACCACCCTGGCTTGCTCACCTCTCCCTCTCCCCCTTTCCTCCCCAGGCTCCTCTTGTAACTTTCCATACTCTTCCTGCATCATGGCAACCAGCTCCATGACTTCCCTACTCCTGGTGAGCCCGGAGTCCTGCACATGGATCTAGACCTGTGTTTTCATCTACCCATGGAGCAGCTTCCACCTGGATCTCCCACGAGCACCACACCCTCATCCTGGTCATTTTCACCCCGAAGTCCAACTTTCCTCCTGCGATGCCTCCATCACACCCCTTTGCCCAAACCAGGAACCGTGGGACTCATTCTGAGCTCCTCTCCTGCAACCAGCTGAGCACCGGGTCCCATGGCTCCTATTCTTAGAAACACCTCCTAGAGCCCCAGGCCACTCACCAGCCTAAAAGTTTTGCAGGATAAAATCTAAATTCAAGACCGTCCATGAGCTGAGCTGGCCCGCCTCCCCAGCCCTGTCTCTTGCACTCCTGTCTCCCTCCTCCCTCCACAGCACTCACACACCCATTCCTGAAGGCTCACTGAAAGACTTTCAGTTCCCTGAACTCGCCCTGCTCTTTTACGTCAACGTTTCCGGACCTCTGTTCCTAATGCTCTTTCTGCCTGGAATGGCCTCTGGTAGCAGGCTGATTTCCCTCTTGCCCTTCACAACGTCCCCTCTTCTGTGCCACCTTCCTTGACTCCTCCAGGCCTCCCTCCAGCAGAGCCCCAATCACTGCGTAATTTTTTTTTTACCTGCCCGCCTCCCTCACCCAGCTGGTGTCTCCCTGAGGACAAGGGCTGAGTGTCATCATCTCTGAACTCCCTGTGTCCAGCACAGAGGCTGGCCCAAAGCAAGTGCTCAGGAAATGCGGGCTGAGGGGAGGATGGCATTAGCTGAGGCCTGAGCTCCCTTTCAGCTCCCGTATTCTAGCGCAAAGGGGAAGGGATGTGGATTTGGGTGGGTGCGGGCCCCCGCGAGCCGCCCCTCGCCTCCCAGGACCCCGCCGGCCGCCACTCCTTCCCCACCGCGGGAGCCCCGCGCACTACCTCGTTGGCGTCGATGCCGCTGTTGACGGCCCACGTGGTCTGGAAGGACTCGAGCATGCGCTGCTTGAGCGGCCGCGGCAGGCGGTGCACGCGGATGAAGTCCTTGAGGTCCTTCATGCGGCTGTGGTAGAGCGAGCGGCGCGAGTACATGCGCTGGATGATGGCCGTCACGTTCCCGAACACCACGGCGTGCATCAGCGCTGCAGCGGCGGCAGCGGGCAGCCCGTGAGGGGCGGCCCCCCCCCCCCCGCCTCCTCCCGCGCCCTCCGCGGCTCTGGGTTCCCGGGGAAGGAGGGGCAGGAGAGCCAGTAGGCTTGGGTTGGGGGGGCAGGGAGGGGCCAGACCTGATGCTCCTCTCCTGCCCCTCCCCCCCCCACACTAGGTCATGAACTTGGGCTTCCCATCCCCTTTGCAAGAGGCTACGCCTTTTGTGTGGCATGCCCCCCAGGGCCAGCATGTAGTAGGTGCTGAGGAAACGGCTATGAATGAATGAATGCACGACTGTCTGGACGTGGGTGGACAGCTTGCCTTCTCTGAGCCCGTTTCCCCAGCTGCACGCTGGGCTTAGCAGGGCCACCCCGGGGCTTGGCAGGCCCGGCCTCACCGCCTATGAGCATGGTGCAGATGGAGAAGATCTTCTCCGCGTCGGTGTTGGCACACACGTTGCCGAAGCCCACGCTGGTGAGGCTGCTCAGCGTGAAGTAGAGGGCAGCGATGTAGGCGCTGCGTCGCGACGGGCCGCCCGCCGAGCCATTGACGTAGGGCTCCTCCAGCCGCTTGCCCAGCTCATGCAACCAGCCTGGGGGGTGAGGGAGGCAAGGAGCAGCTGCACTTGGGCGGGTGGGGGGTGAGGGGGGGAAGCTGGCTTTCCCTGAGCTGCCTGCGCTTGACCTTGGGCAAGTATTTACAGAGGCGAGGGGAGGTTTGCACCCGCAGGCACAGGAAATGTGAGGAGCAGCCTGGGCGTGGGACTCCCCACAGTGAACTGGTTACAGTTGCAGTAACCAAGGCTAAGCTGCTGAGCTGCTGACTGTTTGAAGTGGGGGCTCTCTAATAGCTTATTGAGCACCCCTTGTGTACAGGGTGCAGGCACTTGACCCGCCAGACATTCTCCCTGCCCTGGTGGAACTTAAGAGTCTGGAGGGGAAAGACACATGAAATAAATTGCAGGTGGGCAGTGAGCTACTCAAAGGGAAGTATAGGGCATCCAGGAGCCATAATGGGTTAGGGAGAGCCAACCCAGTTGGGGGGGTGTATGGTTCCCGAAGGGCTCCCTTAGGACAGAGGGTTTTAGTGGAGATTGCAAGGAATAGAAAAGGCAGCTCGGGGAAGGAGGGAAAGGAGAGGATTCCTGAGAGGAAAACATGTTCAAGGCCATTGTGAGAAAGCAGTACAGCCCAGGGGGTGGAAGGAGGCCGGTGTGGCCGCAGCAGAGGGCGCAAGGGAGAAAGGGAAGCCAGGTGGGGAGAGAGAAGCCTGCAGGGCTATGCAGGGTGTGGACCAAGTGTGGACCTGATTTTGAGGGCAGTGCGGAGCCCCGGACAGGGTCCAGGCAGGGTACTGCTCCCTCTGCCCCAAACACCCTCCCCACCATCAGAGTGTTTCCTGTACTGTTTTGATTGCCTGTCACTGGTCTGGCTCCCCTGCTAGGCTGTGAGGTCACCCGGTCCCACCCCTGGTCTTCAACTCAGTACTCCCACACCTGACCGGGAAGGAGCTCAATGCACGTTTGTTGGATGGAGGGAAGAACGTGGGCTGGTAGGGGTGGTGCCGGGGGAGGCATCCACTTGGGGGTCTGTGTGGACAGGACAGGGAGATGGGTGTCAGTGGAAGCCTGGCTCACCGATGTCCCAGAGCAGCGGGTCATTGGCGTCCATCTCCCGGCGGCCGATGACGTACCAGACACAGGCCATCCAGTGGGCGAGGAGTGCGAAGACGGACATGAGCAGCGTGAGCACCACAGCGCTGCACTGTGAGTAGCGCTCCAGCTTCTGCAGCAGCCGCAGCAGCCGCAGCAGCCTCACGGTCTTCAGCAGGTGCACCAGGGAAGTCTGCGGGAGAGCGGCGGGGGAGGCTGTCAGCGGGCACACCTCCTCGGAGCCCCCAGGACCCCTCCCAGCGCCTTGTCACCAGATGCCCGAGAGCCAGGGGAAGCTGCAGCAGGAACAACGGCCCTGCTGTCCTGAGAAGGTGACCAGGGAATGCAGCGGGGAGAGAATAATACCAAAGCTAATAAAGGCTAACACTTGCTCCGCGACGACTGGCTTACTTATATAAGTACTTGCTTTATGCATCAGGCACTGGGCTAAGCATTTATAATCCTCATGAAAAAACTCACGCCTTCAGTTCAATTATCAACACTGTTCCCAGTTTGCTGATGAGTAAACTAAGGCTCAGAGAGGCTAGTGATTTGCTCAAGGTCACACACCGAGGAAACGATGGAGCTGGGACTTCCCTCTGAGCAGCTACCCAAGTCCATTTTGTGCTGTGCTGCCTCCTAGCACCGTAGGCTGGTGAAAAAGCAAGTCCTGGTCAGAGGTAGGGAGTGATCTCTGGTCCCTGCTTGACACCCCCAAAGTCCTAGGCACAATCAGCTGCGGGCGAGAGCTGGTTGTCGGCGATGACAGCATCTGTGAAGGGAGCCATCCCTCGAGACACAGAGAAGCAAGGGAGAGTGGGACCAGACAAGAGGCCTGGGGACTGGGGAAGGTTAGGGGCTGTTCCCAGGGTGGGTCAGCTGCAGATGAGAGGGGCATGCTGGAATGTTGAGGGAAGGAGACCAGGAATTGAGGGAGCCTCAGCTTTGGGCTTTGAGGTCTTAGCCCCTGTGGGGCTGGGTGGGGGCTGATGGAGCTAGTGGCACCTCATAAGCATCCTGTAAGTGTTACCAAAAATACCACTTATGACTGTTTTCACTGTGGTCATTAATGCTTCAATTAGCCTTCTGAATTTTAGAGAAGAGGAGCAGGTACTCTGGGTAGGGGTAGCTTGGAAGCCAGGGCTGGGGGCTCTGGGGCAGGGCCTAGGGAACTTAGTATGAAGGCCCTTCCAGAAGCCCCTAGCAGCATCCCCCATAGTCTTGGCCCTACACAGCTCCTGAGCCACCTCCTGTCCTTTTCTCTAATTTTAGGTAAAGGAGCTGGAAAGGAGGTGGCCCTGCTTCCTCCACATGGACCGTCTCCAGGGCTTAACGCCTGCCCCCAGCTCCCAGAGCTTCTGCCTCCAGACTTGAATCCTTCAGGGCTGCCTCTAGTCACCTGCCCCGGTGCCTCACTCTCTTGGGTCCCTCCTCTCCTTCTCCTTGGACCAGAATGTCCCAGGCCTGGCTCCTTTCAGTCCACAGCTCTCTCTGTGCCTACTCACCCTCTATCTTTGCTCTGCCTCCCTCCAGCCCAGCACTGCTCCTCATCTCCCCTTGTGCCACCACATCCACTCGGGGGCCTTGTGTTCCTGGGAAGCAGGGTGGTGTGGTTGAAGGAGGGATAGACTAGGAGTCTGGAGACCTGGTTCCAATCTCCTGCCTGCTACTTCTAGCTCTGTGACCTGTGGCAAGCTGCTTAACCTCTCTGAGCCTTTGCGTCTACCTCTGAAAAAGAGAATCTGCCCGGAGGGGTTACTGTGAGACTCAAATAAGATGATGTGCGTGAAAGGACTTAGTAAATGAAAGGTGGCCCCGAAGGTACCAGAGGAGCAGGACTACCTGGGAGGAGGGACAGGGGCCTCCCTGCAGCTCTCCCTCTCCCCAGGGACAGCTGTCTGCCTGCTGACACAGCCTGGGAGGCATGGGATGGGAGAGTGCGCTCACAGGGAGGGGTGGGTAGCTCTGCTCAGCGTGGCCGGAGCTCAGGGCAGACATACACACAGGCACGTGTGTGGGAGCGTGCACACCCGTGTGCGCAGCCAGGAGCAGGAGAAGAGGCCCACAGCCCGTCGGCGGCTAGTTAAATCCGGCTGCGTGTAGGTGGTTTCCTGCTATAGCTGAGTGTGGCAGAGAGCGGAGCGCACAGGGAAACTTCTTTCCACCTCCCCACCCAACAGCCAAGGGAGTCTGGGGACACAGGGTGGGACTCCTTCACCCTGGACTTGAGAGAGCACCTGCTATCTGCTGGCTGGCTGCAAAGCTGACCACCCAAGGCACCTCCAGGCAGTCCCCGTAGAGATGGGAGGACCCAGGTCCTGGCACTCTGTGCCTCCAAACCCACCCCACAGCCTCCACCTCCATGTCTTGGCTTACTATGCTCCCCCCCGATGCTCTCTCCCCATCCCCTGTCAGCGAAATCCTGCTTTCTGTTCTAGGGTCTAGCTCTGCTCTATCTCCTGCAAGAATTCTTCCCAGACCACCTGAGCTTTTGTCCCAGCTGGGGTGCCTTGGCCTCCCAGGCACTGGCTAGATTTCAGATCATCAGATCATTTGCATGCATGCCCACTTCCCTGCCTGGAACTCCAAGATCAGCTAGCCCCGTGCCCAGCCCCCATCTTCCTCTCCATTCACCTCTTCTGTTCCTGCTGCCCCCTCCAATAGTCCTGCCCCCTCACCAGCTTAGCTGCCTGGAGGCCGAATCCTTGTCCCTTTCCCCCACAGTGACCATGCTCCACACAGTGCTTTGCAGACAGCTAAAT